CATGAAGGTTATTGGCACTGGACCACTGGTTTAGATTAAAGGTCCAGTGTGTAAGATTTAGGTGAAAGGGATCTATTGGCAGAAATTTAATGTAGAATAATCCTCATGATGTTTTCACTAGTTTGTTTCATCTAAATTGTATGAATTGTAGTTTTCTTTACCCCAGAAAAGGCCCTTTATATTTAAATACTTTATATTTACATCGAGGGACCATGTTTTTTACATTAGTCCAGACTGAACAAACTAAACACCTTTTGAGTTTTTATGACAATTAAAGGTTCTTTATAATGTTTGGAAGCGGAGGGTGAGGTGAGGGGTGTTCAGCTGCAACATGCAATTTCAACACTAGATATCACAAAATTCTACACACTGTACCTTTAAATAAAGGGTAAGATCAGTAACAGAAACCACCCAAGCACTATAATATATCATGTTAGTTTGTATTTTTTACATATTACTACTCATATAGCTCTTATAACTGACGTGGTATAGCTGAATGTTTAAACATCTATACACTCTTCTTTCAGCTGATTTGGCTTGTGTGTCTTTTCCCCATCTGCAGCAGTCATCACTCTGAGTACATGGACACTCAGACATTCTAGTTACAGGACACTTCCCTCAGTTGTGCATGTTTGTGTACAAGTGGGAAAGATTTCATGTACAAAGACATATTGTGTTAACACAGTGAGTGTACTCACAAGATGCTCAGCCATAGCGATGGGATCAAAAGCGGTGCACACAGCAGACATTTGGCTGGCTTTCTCCTTCCCCAGGTCTGTGGCCATCATGAGCAGCTGGGCATCGAGAGTCACTTCCCTCAGGTGTGAAACTGCCAAAGATCACAGTGGATTCAAACTCAACGAGCTCCAGCACTGCGTGATGATAGTGATGTTGTTGTTTCCTATATGGATTGATACTTCCAATGCAATATGATATAAAAGAGCAATTCAAACTTGACCTAACTCACATGTCTTTGGACCAGAGCACCCAGGACAATCATACATGAAGAAATACTTCTCCTCCTCCTGAGCATATGAATATCAATGGAGTTGTTACCCCCACCAAGGAAGTTGAATGGATTATGAAGAAACTTAGTGGAAGGATGTGGTGTGGATCAGGAAGTTTTTAAATGAATGCCAATCTAGTTCATATATTAGTTGTTACTCTTAATACTACAAATGCAAAATTACATTATTTATAAAGGGCAATTGAAACAGGCCAATTTTCCAACTAGCTTTACTCAGATGTCTTTGAACAGTGAGTGAAACACCAGAGCACTCAGGGTAAATGCAGTCAGACATGGGGAAATATTTTTCTGTGGAGATGTTTCTTGACATCTTCATCTGTGTCTTCTATGTGTGGCACCATCCTAGAAAATCCTTCCTAAAGAACCACTTCTTCACACTGGCTATAAATTTAGTTTGAGACCTTAATTTCATCTGTTATTTTGATATATTTATATATATAATTTCTCAAACATTCATGCTGTTAAACATGCTATTGCTTTTGTATTTTCTAGTCATACTTTAATATATATTTTTATGATCTTTCATTTTCCTATTCTAAGCCTATTTTAAACTTGCTATAGAAAACAAACTTGGACTTGTCTTTAGCTATCATACCACCTTTAAACAGCTTGTCCGCCTGCTCTAAAGCTTCTGTGAGTTGGTTGTTGGAGGGGCTCTGCAAATCTTCTCTGTTCTCTGAAAAACAAAAAACACATGTAAATATCAGAGGCATCAGATATAAAACCAACATCGACATCCAAACCTCCTTCCCGACCTGTTGGTCTTACTCACCTTGCATCTTGTTGATGAGGTCTCTGTACCTGCTCCGTATATCTCTCCTGAGGACCAGGTTACTTTTCGGTCGGCCAGCTTTCTTGCGGCAGCCAGCCGAGCCGGCAGCGTCATCCTCAGTGCCACCTCTGGCTCTCTTCATGTTCCGGTCAGTGAGGAGTGGAGCGTGGTGGTGAGCGGGAAACACACTGCTGCAAAACGGGTCCGATAAAAACAAGCTGTGACTGAGTTAGTGAATGTTACAGCTAATAAACTACCACCAGCAAACAACTATAGAAACAAGCTGATCCTGGACGATGTAAAGTTGTTGTTGTAACAACAAACTGGAGGTTTACTTGAAATTTTGCCAAATATGCTAAAAAAAAAGTCAAGATATAAACCCTTTACTTTGGCTCCTTTACAAGGTGATACATGGTACAAGATTAAGCCAAAGTTGATATATATTATGCATTAGACTTCCTGGTGTTGTACTGTATGCTTAATGCTAACCACAACTGATGTCAGCCAATGTAAACCATGTTGTTGATTCAGTGCTAGCTAGTGCTCGCTGTTCAGCTAACGTCTCATTAAATCTACGACCAAACATTGACTTAACACTATATCAATGGAAGGTTAGCTAACGTCATACCATATACTGTGATTCATACACAGCTAAAATAATCTAAACAAATAAAATCACACCCCAAAAAAAGACAAACGTTTACCTTCTGTTTTCTTTAGCGTGTGTCTTTGGTCCGTGCTAACGTTAGCTGTGAAAATCTGTTAATTCTAATGTAGCTTGATGTTGACGCTCTTTTTCCAGTGAGGCCACGTTAAAATAAGTCACAGTATTTTATATCCCGCTGGTTTTCCTACTGAGACTACACATGTTTATTGTGGGTGAAATTGTTCCTTGGGATTATTATTCTTCCGCTTCCGTAAATTTCCGTCCCGCTGCTCCTCACACAAAGTTTGATGCACATTCACACAAAGCAAAAATACCGAAAGCCAAATGCATGGGAGTCAAGGTCTCTCGCCCATTTAGAGCGAGCAGTCAAGGTCTCTCCAATGAGAGCAAGTGGGGAAAAAATACAAAACAGTTTTTTTGTGTTTAAAACCTTCTCAAAGCCACAAACTGAGTCTGACAGACATGATTTTTACATCAGGTTCAGATAGAGTTTGTTTCCTACGCACACATGTCACTCTGACATCTCTCGGAGCTGTAGTTTAGGCTGGAACATTTTTTGAAAAAAGTTTTCCAGTCTCACCTCTCCATTGACTGCCATGTTAATTTTTGAAAAAAAAGTCAGAAAGGAGAAAAACAGGAAAAATATTTCTAACTCGCTCCCACGGTCTCCTTTCTGAACTCTCACCAATACACCAACACATGGCTACATCGGGCAAAGTCTTGGGATTCTCACTGTGTTTTCATTTCACAGATGGGACTTATAGTTTTTGAGTTACAAGTATTTGTTTGAAGCCTGGCGCTAGAGCACAGCACTCTGGCTTCCCCATTCACTCTAAAAAAATGATTTTTTTCCCGATGAGAAAACTAAATGTCTAACTCGCTCCCACGGTTTCATTTCTTAGCTCTAACCAATAAAAACATATGTGTGCGTCGGGCAAAGTCTTGGGATTCTCACGATGTGTTTATTATAGATTTTGAGTTAGAAGCATTTGTCCGGAGCTTCTTCAGCTCTCTAAAAAGAGAACACAGGTGTTCCTAATCAAATCAGTGAGTATCCATAGCAACCCCATAGACACGCAGAGGAAGAAGCTCCTCTTTAAATTGACCGATTTCAAACTTTTTCACCACGCTCTGCTTTAGTCCAGTGGTTAAAGCTCTCACATCATGTGACGTGAGTCTGGGTTCAAGTCCGGGTGAAGATGGGAGCTTTTGAATTACTTTTTGACAATTCAAATAAATTGTAACT